ATACGAAACGGGAAACTAATGCTGGAAAGTGTTAGTGATATTCCGATACTGTTGAACATATATCAGTGGTGGGATAACGGAGTGATGTCCAGCAATCTCTTTCGCTATCTCTATTTTGTTGAGAATCTCTCAATCGTTTTCTTTATTGACTGACTCCCCAGTTTCTGTTTCGGATTTCAAATTATATCTTGCAGAACGCCTCCTCCTTGTAAGCATTCGCGAATAAATTGATCTCTTTCTTCCTACTCGTCCAGTCGTCTCACAAGTTCGCAGGTAGCAACTAAACAATGCAGAAATAAAAGACTATTCAATTCCTAAGCTTCTTATCTTCACTTAATCCAGGATGTAAACCAAGCGAGGTGATCTTTTACATGATAATTGTTTTGATGCTAGTTTTAATGTCAGATGTCGAATCAGGCTTGTGGTGAGAATGTGAACCTTGATTTATGTTTTGTTGCTTTTCCAATCTATTTTTGACTAGAAGCTATCAGACAAACTCTTGCAGTTCCCTACTAATGAGAAGGTTAGGAAAATCTGGATGGAACACTTCCTTCAGGGTTCAACGTTTAGACTAGTGGATTCGTCACTGTTTACATTTTATTTGTTTTTGCCATCACTCTGGCTTAGTGTTTGCGAACATTTCATTGAAGTTGACCAATACATTTGGAATACAACTGTTACCAATATACACATCTACCTCCCCTTCAAAAAGCGCAGAAAGTTGTCGGGTGATGACCACCCCCCCGAAGTGAACGACGGCTTCATAAAATGTGAATGTTTTTTGCCAATGATAATGTTACTGTTTCAGTTGTATATCGATCAGTGACCTAAATTACAATTATCATTTACTGAAAATCAGCTATCATATGCCCACTACTAACGCAGATTTACTTGGAGGCCTCGTCACTTGGGTGGTTGGTCTGCACCCCACACGTATCTGGCTTTTTGAAGGGGAGGATACTTTGAATGTCGCGTCTGCCTACACTCAGGAAAAATCGGCGGGGTTCGACGTGAATGTTTTGCGCTTAAGGTGGGGGTGAATTTTTTCCCCAGAAAATGAAACTCAACTCAAGAAGGGCCGAACAAAGCTGGCATGCGAAAAGGACAAAAAAAAAAAAAAAAGTTTTTGGTTGTTGTAATAAACAAAAAGACTTTGAATTCATCGCGTAAATATACGGAAGCTGTAGCGAAGTGACAACGATTTTGTGCAGATACTCAGTCCGTTTCCAGTCATCTGTCAGATGTCGTAAACTCTTGTTTCCTTGAATGAGAGTTACGTGCATTCGGTTCAGCGTTCTACTGAAAGGATTTGGTTTACTTCATAATTTCAGCTAAGCTACAACACATCACACTTTATATAGTGATCCCCACGAGATCCAATGCAATTGATACATCCTTGAACCTAAGGCAAGATTGTCTACTGTTTACAAAATAATTGAACTTTGGATAAGAAAAAGAACAAAGGATCTCCTGGCGCGAGCCTCAGTGCGTGATGATCATATTTCTCACCTGAATCATAATAAATTGAAAATGAAATTTTCAAAGGGACGGCAGGCATTGTTGATGGGTAGTCCACAGCGGAGATTTACTGGCATTCGGCAGTGAACGAAGGCGGAGGTCTCTACTGGGATGATAGACAGTGAAATAACACGTCAGGACACGCATTTTCCTAAACTGTAAATGTTTACTCATGAGAAAAAAAAACGGCTGGACTACAGCGCAAAAGCAAGATTCTAGAAACGATGATTCTTTGGAAGAATTCCTTCCACTCAATACTAAAATTGTAAAGTCCTGAATAAAAACTGTGTCGACGAATTTCTGAAAAAAAGACACACGTTAACCGAATTGTCAGCAGCTCTTTTGATGGAGTTCATCAAATTCGTACAGACTCCATCATTCTACCAGACACAGCCAGTAACCAGTAGCTGGAAATCAGCTGGATGCAATGCGGGTTGCTGGCAGCATGCCATCAGCAATGGCGAGCATGTCGGAAACTCGTCCGACACTCCTGCCTTGAGGTTAGGCGAATGCCACGAAAGGTAGGGGGTCCTGTTAGAGCGTTATCGTAGCTTTTCTCTGCTATTTCTTTTCATTTTCTATTCAAACAATGCACTCCAAATCGCTATTCGAAAATCGCTGTTAACCGATGAATCCGTGCCTGAGTTGTGGGCCTTTAATTAGCTATCTCACTAGATTTTGAGAACTCCCAATGAAACCTTGTTTACAGTCAGGAAGAAACAATGTATCCTTTCACATACGTGCATCCGAAAAGAGATGAAATTGGGGCGATACGGAAAATAGTGAATGTACTGCGGCGCACAGCGCTCCTCATAATTTTGGACGCACGCCTGTAACGGTAAGCGTGGAACCACGTAATCTTCTAAAATGTCTTCGTCTCTTCCCCAACAGCTTCTTTGAAGAAGTTATTATTGTGAAAATTGCATTTGCTGCTCAAAAACACTATGAAGAAATGTTCCACGTGATTTCATCGAACATGGCTCTGAAAAACGTTTTGGTGGTCTTGTCAAAAGAGAATCCTGTAACTTCACCCGCATAGAAAAAGTGCATCTCAGAATGCAAATGGAGCGATTTATGGTCGCTGAATGCCAAACTCGCGATATTTCAGAAAAAAATGTTCACAACCCCCCCAAAAAATAAAATTCGAAGTGTGACTTTCTCTCAAAATGACTTTGAAAAACGGTCGGAGGCATGTTAGAACGAGATCGCGTACTTTCACCTCATGGAAAAAGTGCTATCTCCGAAGTGAAAATGAGCGATTATGGTCGCTGAATCCCATAAAATCTCGCGATTTAGAAAAAATGTTTCACACCCCCCCCAAAAAAAAAAGTTCGACGTGTGATTTTGCATCTCAAAATGACTTTGGAAAAAACGTTTCGGAGCATGTTAGAACGAGGGAAATCGTACTTTACCCATAAAAAAGGTTTATAAATGAAGTGAGTTATGGTCGCTTATAGCACCAAAATCGCATTTACGAAATTTAGAACCGGAACATTTTGAAAAGGGACAATCCTAAACTTTTACAAAGGTTTCGTAGGAATATTTGAAGTTTGCAGCTTTTACAGATTTCCCAATGTCGCATACGAAAAATTTTATGGGCCTTCAAAGTTGAAGGTGCGCCTTCGAAGAATTTTGGGTTTTTCTCTTCTAACAGAAGTAATTTCCGGAGAGTTAGGTAATCCTTGTAGTTTCTGAGAGCGCACCTCAGGCACAATCAAAACCCACCTCAACAAGTTAAAAAAAAACGTCTAAAGAAAGTTATTCCTTTCTAAAACTTTTCTTCGCCGCGTCCCTTTCTTCCAGCGCCCGGCTGATACCTGCCGCGCTCTAAGGCTGACGCCGCAACGCAGTCGCTTTCTGCGGCGGCGGCGCAGACGCTTTCTGGCCCAACGGATTCATGTCTAACACTCTTATTAACAAAAACAGGGGGTCGCGGACTCCCTCGAGAGCTAGGGGGTCGCAAAAATCCCGAAAATGCTCGAACGTGACGGTTAATCCTGGTGGGAAGTAGTGGCGTGCCGCTCTCTTCGCCAGGGCCTGTGAGGCGTAGTTCTAAGGGCTGTTACTGTCGCCGCCACGTGGCAGTCAGTCGTCACAGTCCGTCCGCTACTATTTAAGCATAGGGTGAGCGGTAGGTCACTTAATTCCACTCCAACGGCGCGGCCCGTAAGGTTCAGCTAAATCCTTGGCTGAGGCATACACATGCAGGTAAATATATGGGTCGGGAAACAATCAAATTGTTTTTACCAGTGATTAAATCAATGTTCAGGTCTGAAGAAGGTGTTGAACACCGAAATATAGCAGAAGATTTCAAGGAGTTTTTTTGAAACTTTTCGCGTTTTTTGGAATTTCGGAGTTTTTTTGAATATTTTGTGATTTTGGGACTCTTTTGAAATAAATCTTGGTGCCTCTTTGCGTTTTATAACATTTAGGTCCTGATGAGGCTCCGGGACAGCACAATACTGAGTGATTGAAAATTGTTCAGTTGTACATCCAAAGGAGCGATATTGCTCTTGCCAGTGACCAGATATTCTAATTTGGAGTGTAGGAGTCTTACTCCTGATGGTAGAATGTGCTCATACCAAATCCGCGATGAACAACGTGAAAAGGTCGCCACAGCCCAGTAGGATAGGTGTTTGCAGCGTATGAATTTGGGGCGAAATGGATAGCTTAATGTGATGCTGAAGGTATTGGCAATCTTCTTCAGAGATTGGGGTCCGTTCAGGTCACCCGTGATGAAGTCAATCTTTGCCAGTCCGAATTCGTGTCGAATACCTCGACAGTCTTCAATTTCGACTTGAGTCTTCTCGCATGATTGATCTTTTGCAGAACTATTGCCGAACGTGTGAATTGTTAGTTGGAGCTGACCAGTTTTCGGAAGTCCTAGGTTGCTCTGCGAAGTCGTTTGTGATGAACGACCGGTTCGCGCCCGTGTCCAGCGTGATGAACGTCTTCGAACTCCTGCGTCTTGACGTTCCAGAATCTGGCTCGTCCTGCGAGGAGATCCTGTGAATCTTCTGCTATACGTGGAACTTTCTGCTGGCGTTGCACGGCTTGATCGTTAATTCGGCTCGGCGTAGAGCTCTCTTCTGTGGCAACTGTGGTGGAGTTCTGGTTTGTAGTCATTTTCTTTGTCACATGTCCCCCTGGTTGGGTCTTTTGCGAAGCACTTCTCGATGTTTGTATGGTTGACGGTTGCGACTTGAAGGGTTTCTGACAGATCGATGTGTGATGACCCTTTTCTTTGCATTGTCGGCAGGCTCCACAAGAACAGTTCTTAGTGCGGTGTCCTCCTGATCCACAGTTTTGACAGAGGTTTTGTTGTCTGATGAGCTGTAGTCGCTGATCAATTGTAGGGTACCTCAGGCGGCATTTCGGTGCATGACCGCTTGTGCCGCAGTGAAAGCATGGTTAAGTTCTATTGTTCTGATTGTTAACAAGTTTGGTTGTTCTTGCTACGGACGGAATGTTGAATTCTTCGTTCATGGTTCCTCGAATGTTCTGAATTGCGCTTCTATTTCGAAGACTTCTTGGAGGTCCTGAAGTAGCTGCTTTGTTGTCCAACTTGATCCTTGAGAGGATGTTTTCTTTTTCAGCATGGCGCGCTGGATTTTGTCAGTGAACTTCTTCAAGATAGTGCGTCGCATCTGTTGCGTGTCAGTGTTTTCTCCCTTACGCTCTAATTGAGAGATGATAGAGAGTATCTTGTCTAGTGTGTTTATTTGGTCAGCAATCTTACTGCTTTCCGGTTGTATGCCTTGCAAATTTTGAAGCAGTTGGTTGACGACCGCTTCTTAATTGTCATACTTCTTTCTGAGGAGCTGGATTGCAACGTTATAGTTGTCTGCTGTGATTTGGAGTCTGCTTACCGTGCTTTTGCGGGCCCTGGAGGGCTTGCAGCAGGTAAGTCAGCCTTTCAATTTCGCTGAAGTTCCTTTTGTGGACGGCTGCGTCGAAAATTCCCCAAAAGTGATCCCATTTCCATAGTCGTCCGTCAAACCTGGGAATTTGAAGTGGCGCGAGACGTGGTTTGACCGTCTCATCTGAGGCCGTGTGGGATATCGGTACATCCGCATTTTGTTCTAGGATCAGAGAGAGTTCGGTCAGACGATTCTGACCACTGATATGTATGGCTTGAGCGCTATCAATGTTTTGCTCAATTTTTGGCCATCTGGTTTTTGGTCTGGCGGTGGTTGTAGCTCGTCAGCTGCAGCGATATAGCTGTCGAGCGCTTGTTGCAAAATTGCCATGTTGATTTCCAGTTCCTGTCGTTCTTGACGAATGCGTCCTAATCGTTGTTGATTGAACTCATCTTTGGTGTCTCCATTGAGATTGTCCATTGAGGCATACTTTATGAGTGCTCCATTCAATGCTGCCCATCCGTGTCAGCCATGACTTTTTCCGCTGAGCTCCTATCATTTTGTAGGTAAGGTCGATCCCAAATGAAGTGACAGTCGGTCTCGAGGTAACGATTGATGCAGGTAGAATATGGAGTCTCTTATGACGATTGAGTTGAGACAATATAGAGGTCTTGGTCTGCGCTATAGCTGTAGAAAGGAGAACTCACGGTTTGGCCGATGCACCAACAATATAGGAGTTCTGTCGATGTTACAGATATAGTCGATACGTGGTTCAGTGGTGTTTCAGGATGTGCAGGAACGTCGTAGTTGAAATCTTTATTGTATCCTTCAGTCCACAGTAATGCCGAACCAATCAGATTGATGGAGAATAAAACTGAACCTTACTATCCTACTAGGGCTTTTATATCATAGATGTTTTGGTACTCAAATGTGAACAACTGTGAAGCATTTACCACAAGCCACATTAGAGGGTTTCTTCAACATTCTTCGGTTGATATCGATCTTCGAGGAGTTGATATAGTTCGCAAATTGTATTAATGATGGAGTCAACGACGATACTTGAAATCTTATCGAACTATCTCGTTTCCGTCGTTCCTAAAGTGGTGCGTTGTCTGCTGTGCTTCCATGCTCAGCTATTTGTTTTCCTAAGGAGGGGCATTGAAGTTCAGGTTAACCAACAACTCCGTTGTCAATTAATGAACAAAACGCATGTCTACACATGGGCGAAGAGAACAAAAAGCGAGTCAAGCACCAGTTCAGAGGAAGGCATTACGTATTTAGCTGAACACCCAGGGTACGTGGTCATAGCCTCTTTCGCTTACACCGTTTAGGACTGAGCTTCTGAGAAAAGAAAGGAATTCTGGAGGTATGTGTGGGAAACCTGCCTGACGTTTCTTTCATCCCTCTCCTGAACTTGGTCCTAATGTTAGCTATTGGAATTACTCGGCTTATAGTATCAACCAGCCAACAGACAACGATCTCACCAAAAAAAAACTTCGTCCGGGCGTATACGGCGTAACTATCGTTACTTATTTTCAAACTAAGCTATAGCGCATGGAATTCCAAATAGCATTATATATTTGGTTAGCTCATCAATGTTGAAATGAACTCACTTAATCATGTCATCCCGTAACAGCGGGGTGCTTTGCAGCGCAAAGACGAACAAGGGGGTACCCTGGCGACGCGCAGTGACTCAAGGCAGTCCGGTTTAGACAGCTACTTTTAGCTGAAAAAGGAGCCAAACTCACCTCAAGCGACAATTAGATGGGATTTTCATGCTCATCGCAAATAGTGCACACCTCACGCATGGTAGGACGGTGTGGTGGTGGCTGCCGGGGCGACGATGGGCTAGTAAATGTGGTCCATCATCACATGGATAACATTCACGCACGCTCCTGGACAGCAGCAACTTGTTCATCACGAGTCATCGCCAACATCGGCTCTAGCGGCAGCGACGACGGCGGCTACTGCAGCCTTGGCAGCAGCTACTGCAGCCTTGGTAGCAGCTACTGCAGCGTCGGCAGCGGCTCTTTTAGCGGATCGCCGCCGCGGCTTCCGTGCGGACTTTGGCGGCCTCGGCGTCGGCGACTTTGGTGGTGACTTTGGCTACGGTTTCGGCGGCAGCGGTGGCGATGGAGGGGACGGCCTCGGCGGCGGCATCGCTAACAGCGGCGGTTTCGGCGTTGAGGCGACAGGGGCGGTGGTGGGAGCGGCGGCGTAAATGCAAGACGACGATGTTGGCTCGTCGGATAGAGGATCGCGGGCCGGTAGCTTCAGTGGCGAAGTGAAGTGGCGCCGCAGCTCCTCCGATGGCTCCGACACCTTCCTCTTGCGGGAACAATACATACGACCGCGTGCTGAAAAAGAGGTAACTGAGCTGGATGAGGCAGCACATAAAATCAACAGCAAATCAGCAGTCCGAAGTGTAAGCGACACAGAAGAAAACCGTGGTGGCAAAAACCAAGTTTTTTTCAGGCCCTCAAAACGGATCATATGAAGCGAGAATTGCAGGCGGAAAGCAAACAATAATGCACGCCAAGGGAAAACAATACCTTATAGGCCAAAAACGCGGATCCCTGCTTACTCGGTGATCTTTGGGACTTCTTGGAACCGGACTATAAGTTTGACCTAAAAACCGGCCCAATCACCCATCGATAGCAGCTTTGACCTGCTGATTTCCTTCGTCAACTTCTATCCACTTTTTTCCCGGTGTCCAAGAATTCTTGGACACGGGGTTACAAGTGTTTGACAGCAAACCCTGCCTCCTTCTGCGCATATATTATTATATTATCAGTATGGCAATATTTAGTCTCTCTCACTTCTCTGACCTTTTTTTCAGCTCTATAAAACTTCTCGGAAGCAAATTATGAGGACTTATAAGAAATGCTGCTCACTTCAGGGCACGCTCTGCCCACTGAGGGAGAGTCTCCCGATGCACGCGTGTTGTGTGCTGGAAACACCTTAGGCATTGCTTCCGTACAGCAATTTCTTTCTGCTCTGTAGACTTTCTACTTATTTGTCCTTCAGAGCCTTCTTCAAAAATAGGAACTTCTCTTGGTCGCTCAAATCGTCGTCGCTGTGTATTAGCGATTCGAAAACGGACCAGAACGTATTCAACTCCATATAGTTCCCTGCAAATGTAGGAACTTCCAGTAATGGGCGCATGACCCGAACGTTACGTTCTTGCGGAGTCATTGCGGCATTTGACCATCCTTGACAGCTGCTATGGCTGTTGGCGACAGAATGGTTGGGCTGAGGTGAAGTTATTAATGCAATTTGTTGCAATAGTCCCTCATTTCTAAAGTCCATTTTGTTCAGCCTTTGTATTACTGAATCCAGAATGTTCGACTCAGTCTCTAAATGTTTGTTTACATCTAACCAAATCTTTTCGCGTTTCTTGTGTCCTTGCCGACCATCGATTGTCTCGATGGCTTCTTTGGCGCAGTCATGATGGAACTGCTTCGCTGAATTGATGCTTTTTGTAAGGTGGTTCAACAGGGCAGTTTTTTTCCCTTATGTACGCTTAGCATTGCTCAATTTGTGGAGGGTGAAAATCCTTGGTTAAACTTTGTGAATTCTGGCTCATAAGATCTGAGCAGGACACAAGCGTTCGTGATCTTTGTTTTGTACACTTGAATTTCGGCCATTTCTATAGCTTATAGTTGGTCCAAAGCGTCAAATTTTTAGTATCTAGAACGTCACAACGGCTATGAAGCTTTCCTTGGTTTCGCAATAGAACTGGTCCTGTCACGCGGGCCTTTTTTGTTCTTGTTGGCTTCTTCAGGGAGGAGTTGTGTTGGAATCTGATTTGATTTGTTATCCAAGTGGTAGGGAAAACAATTGAAATAAACCGTCTGTTTCTCACTGAGAGAAAAGGTGCAGACAATTTGCCCGATTTTCTTGATTCTCAGGCAGGACTTGTTTCGAAAGTCTGACTTGTTTTGTTTTCCATTGGTGTGGGAAACAATGAAAACAAGACGTCGATTTCTCAGTTAAAGAATAAGCGCAGACGGTGACCGATTTCGCGATCCTCGGGGAGGACTTGTGGGAAAAATTGGTATTGTAGTGCTTTTCAATTGGTGAAAAACAGCAAAGGCAAATTGTCTATTTCTCACTGGGGAGAACAATCATAGACAATTTTCCAATTTTCCAATTCTCAGAGAGGAATGAAGAAGAAAATCGGAGTTGTATTGGTTCCCAACTGGTAGAAAGCAATATAGGAGGATCGTCCGTTTCTCAGTAGAGAGAACAAGCGCAGACGAGTTCGTAAGTGTGGGTTTCTACCCCAGGCCGATGCACCAATTTGGCTAGTGAGCCAACGGAAGGCTTAACCAGTGGCGGTCATATTTATTACGACGTGTTAGTGTAAGAATCGACGATAATAATGCATTCAGTGGGGTTTATATACAAAAAATGTGGGCGGTCCTCAGATATCGTATCGCCGCTGGACCGTGGGGGGCCAGTGGCGGTACTCAAGCTCAGTGGATGAAAGGGCGGACCGCGCCAGCAGCAATATTCAAGCTCCGTTCTTGATTGCGCACTTACGATACCGCCAGGTTGTGCCTGTGGTATATCAAAAGATACTTATCTTACGTATGTCCCAAGGTAAAGAAGTTGAACTATCATCTTATCATTAATTTCTATGAATCTTAGTTCTATTGGGAACGTATAGGATGTGTATCCACAACAGCGATCCTCAGTGGGGCGGCGGGGGGTGGTCAAAATCGCGGGGGTGGTCAAAATCGCGGGTAGTATAAAGTGTAGTGGGGGTGGAGGGTCTTCAGGACAAGCTGCGCTTTTTCATACTAGGTTTCTTGCACATTGTAAGGACCTTTTCGCGGGAGCACAGAGCCATTTTCAATTTTCGCTGAACGGTTTTTGCAGTACCAAAGAAGAAGTGTTTGGATTGTTCGATCCTCTCTGACGACATTTTGCATTTGCTTTGGTTGTCACGGTTTTGTGCCAAATAGCGCTAAATGTTAAGATCAGATGTCATATTCATGGGCAGGACCATGAATGGATCCATGAACTAGCCTCCAACCTGAAACAAAAAAAATTAGTCGCCATGAGGGATCGAACCATTGTGCGAACAGCACATCGGTGCAGCGCTTCTCGCGGCACACCACAGCTCTACGCCCACCGGCCGAAAACCGACTACTCCAGCGGCTTACGGTTCACTTGAACAGCAGGTCACTTTTCCACGCACTTGCCCCCCCCCCCCAACGTCGTAGAGCACAGCAAGAATACGGGAGAGAAGAGCCGCGCTCGGCTCAAAATCTCAAGTGGAAAGGTGAGCGGTTGAAGCGACGAGGACAGCTCGGCCTTGGAGAGGAGAGGGACTGACGCGGCTGGCGTTGGGAGCACCAAGTCCAATTAGTCCGTGGGCTGTGTGGCAGAAGTGTGAATCATGTGAACCACAGACACTCACTCACATACTCACTCACTGCCGCTATTTAAAGAGGGGGGTCTTTCAGGACATGAAGCGTTTTTTAAATGGTTTTCTAAATATGTAGAGGCATGTGAGGAGGGAAGCCGAGAACTATAATCCTCCACATTTTTCCTTAACTCCCTAGGAATGTCCAAAGAAATAGTCCAAAGCCCGATCCTGCGTGACAACAAGTTTTTGCGATTTGTGTTAGCGCCTCCAAACTGCCGCAAAACACCACAATAATCTCTATTTCGACGATGGCGCCATTGTCGGCAATCCGGCAGCGCCCAAGCATACCATGCAAAAATTAATCATCAACGGAATCTAATTCTGGAACACTGCTCGACACCACTCTATTGAGGATTCCTGGTGGTGTTTGGGGGAAAATGGACAATCATGGTTCTGTGTGCATGTATGCAACTACAAACATGTCCTGACCTAAATCTCCCTTGTTAGACGAGAGCGCAGGCAAGAGCATCAAGGGGTTGAGACGGTCGGGGAGGGTGAGACCGTTGGTACACGTGAATGTGCATGAAAAGTTGCGAAAAAAATTGAAGGCGCAAAAAAACGAAAGGCACAATGGCGAAAAGCGAGGAGCGGCGGGGAGAGGGCAAGTAACGCGACGAATTCGGTTGTACTGATTTCATCACTCCACCAAACCCCTTCCCACCCCTTGGATGAGGTCCAAGATTTCATCACCGCAGATTGCACTCAAGCTGACCTCTACCCCGCCCCAATGGATGGGTTCCGATTCGATCCGCGATCAATTTGAGTTCGACCGCTTCATTTACTGCCTCATACAATCGCTAGAGTGAAACTCGAGCGTTGGCAGCGCAGGCCGCAAGGAGTATGACGAGCTCAAGTTCATGCAGCCTCAATAAAAATGGAACTGGAATCTGTAGCCTCGGCCTTCAGCGCATCTCAACGCGACTGTGCGAATAGCTAGCTGTCACAGGTGACAGCTAGCAATGGACTCTCAATTGCCGTTGCTACCCCCTTGAGCCACAGGCACATGCGTGGCGCATCTCAAAGCACAGGGCTTGTTGGTGACAAGCGCTTTAACATCGATCCATCACAAGCGGAAATAATGCTTTAGCACGTTGACGACAACGCGCGTTTTGGGCTTTTGCGCCGCGTGGGACCACGGCGATTTTGTAGGCGCCGCCGCCTCACATCAAATCCGTGAATTTTGAGCTTTGAATACCCAAAACTCGGATGCAACAAAGTGTTTAGATTGATATTCGATGTGTCAAACTTATCAGAAGAGACAACTGTAAAAAGTTGATCGAATGGACGTTATATGGCGATGAGAGGCACGTTTCACTTGCTTTTGCTGCAGTGAACCTCGAAATTATTTTTGACGCGGTTGCTCTACTAAAAACATATGCCTTGCAACAGGTGTGGGTCTGTACTTACGTCTACTGCTCTTTTTTATGACCAAGATTATCGGAATATAAAGGAAACTAGGAATGAACACAACTGGGAAATTCGTAGGGCCAAGAAAACCTTCGCTAAAAAGGAGCACATTCAACCCCTAAATGAACCTCGCCGTGTCCTGTCATATTATGGTGTAGTCTATGGAACACATGCAAGAAAATTAGAAAAGAAGTTGCGTATGCGCGAAAAAATAAATATTTTGTTGTGCAGCGCATGCGCAGCACACGGTCCCACCCGGTGCTCAAGGTGTGTGTGCTGCCCAATGTCGTCAACGTGTTAAGCGAATCTAGGTGTGACGCACGACCCGCGAAACGTGCAGAGCAAGGAAGCCCAGTGATATGGAAGGACTGTGCAGAGTGATCTCGTGTCTAAAATTGCAGGGTTTTACAATGCCAGCTTTGTGATGGAATCATCTCCAAGACGCTTTTGGCACACTCAGTGGGCTTTCTCACAATCCTTGAAATTGTCTTTAATGGGTCAAAACGAGCTCTTCCTTGAAAGCTGTGGCTGAATCAAGCTCAAGAAAACTCAAAATTACTGCTCGTTACGGCCGGGGGAGAGGGGATTGGTGCGAATGTATGCGTTGTTCTGCGAAAAGTAAGGAAAAAAATGGTTGGGCTCACATAAAAGCACACATCCTATCAAACTTTCCTGTTGCCATGCCAAAAGTTCGTCAACGAAACGAGAAAGAAAAAGGGTCATCGGGATCACCAAGAGCTCAAAAATCCGCATCTGCACGATAAGGGTGCGAATAGGTTTTTTTGAAAAAAAATGAACGATCATAGCTTTCAAATGTTCACGTACCTTTTCGAACGCAATGTCCTAATCTTTCTAAGGCTTTCTAAGAAATCTTTCTAAGAAAAATGCTCCAGATTTCCATGTATTCTAACAACTCTCCAAAACGCCTCGCCACATTTTTTTAGCAGCCCTTTATCGTTTGTGCACTGTACTTGTTGTGAGTAAAAAGCTGCCAGACGACATCATAGTTATACAACTGCCGTCGGAATTGAAACAGACTACGAGATTTACAGCATAAAATTCGTGTAGGGACGGTATGGGACTCGATTTTCGATGATGCTGAGGAGAGACGATGGCATTTCCTGACGGATGAGTGAGTACTGGGCTCCGACCACGCAGGACCGACCGCAGACGAGAATGGTGATGTGAGGCGGTGGTGAACACCGCCTTCGACGGCAGAAGCGTGCGTGTGGACAGTTGACAGCGAATCAAGGACCTAATAATGGACAGTTATTCTTCGAACAGCCTTCGCATTGTGTGTCGTATACCTTGGTCTTAGTCGGCTCAATGACGGTACGAAAGCTGATGGTTAAACGAGGGGTATCGTGGAACGGCGAGTCGACGAATGGTGGTGGAATAAAAAGGGAAATGTGTTGAATCAAATCGACGTATCATGAGGTTGCCGGCTCGAGAATGCCGAGTTAGCGCTCACCTATTGAATAAGGAGTGAGTGAGATGTGACATTTGAAGGATATTATGATGTTTTAATGATGGAGATGCGCATTTCCTTGAAATTTGTGTTCTTCACTCCATAACAGAGCCCTTGGTCCTGTCGTGTTACCTCTGTAATAGGCTTCCGGAAGCAGACGTCATGTAAATTCCAAACCTGCTTGAGCGTTGAAAAATGTATGATTCGAAGAAGCTATGCCTTTTTTCTTCGCTTGACACGCTCCGCTTCCTCACTGCCAGAACGAAACCTGGCTCGGTACTCGGCTAACACCGCCGCGATGCAGCTGCAAACGTATCTTGGAACTTTAAATCTGA